GTTTTCCCAGCGAAAGATGATTTATTATTCATTCAAAAAAATTTTCTGATTGGCTCAAATCCCGCGGCTCATTCTTCATAACCAGCAAGCATTTACCAAATTTGGAAGATATGTGGAAAATGTGGAAAATGACTTCATACACCAGTATAAATGCCAGAAGAATGGACGGCAACCGAGAAGCCCTGGAGACGAGATTGCGTTGTTTTGGTTGAGCGATACTAAATGGCTGAACATTTCACACGTTTCGCCAAGAAGAAATGGCCGAAGTACTGCCTCAAAACATGGCAAGAACAGAAAGAATACAACTCTCTTCGGAGAATATCTGCAGAACTATACATCCCTGTATCTCCTGAACTTGCCCGGAAACAGCCAAATGAAGATGGAAACATCGACCAAGATAATCAGTAAACACAACATGAACCATCATTTTAATGCTGATGATAGCCAAATTTATTTGTCTTTCAAGCCGAGTGCTGCTGGCGAACCGACTACATCCAAACTGCGCATTGAGTCATGCATTCACGACGTTAACAATTGGATGTTAGCCAATAAGTTGATGCTGAATCACGACAAAACTGAGCTCCTTATTTTGCACGCCCGTCATCGACCACAACCCCCGCTAGAATCTATTCTTGTTTGCTCAGATGTGATCTACTCATCGAACTCAGCAAAGAACATCGGTGCCTGATTCGACAATGTCATGTTTACGGACAAACAAATAAACAGCGTATGTCAGTCTGCTTTCTACCACCTGCGCAACATTGCTCAAATCAGTAAACATTTCTCTTTCCGTCATTGCGAAACTTTGATCCACGCATTCGTAACATCCAAGATTGACCACTATAATATGCTACTCTCAGGTCTTGAGCAGGATCAAGTCCGAAAGCTCCATTATGTCCAGAATTCAGCAGCCCGACTTCTAACAGGCACACGTAAACACGAGCATGTTACTCCTGTGCTAAGAGATCTACTTTGGTTACCCGTTCATGAGCGTATTCGTTTGAAAATTTTACTAATGACTTTTAAATACCTTAATCAACTAGCGCCATCCTACCTAAGTGACCTCTTAATTCACTATAGACCATCAAGAACATTACGTTCGTCTGATAAAGAACTACTGGTACAGCCCCGCTGCCATCTTAAAACATATGGGGAGCGAGCTTTCTCCTTTATTGCCCCAGAACTATGGAGTACCCTCCCATTAAGTAGAAAACAATGCAACTCAGTAGAATCTTTTAAATCCACTCTTGAGACGTACCTTTTTAGAAATTACTCTGAATTATAAGAATCATTTATTATTACGTTTTTTCAGGCTTTTTTTTTAATATTACTTAGTAGTCTTTATCATTCACTGTTGTAAAGCGCTGTTGGTTAAGTAGAGAAACAGCGCTATATAGGAAGAATATTATTATTATTATTTCAAAAGTAGGTTAAGTTTGATCGTCCCGGTGAACGTAGTCGTGAATGGGACTGTTGTTGACAGTGACTCGGACGTTTCAACAACCTGTGCGGTAGTCATCTTGAGAGTCAAAGTTTGACTCTGAAGATGACTGCCAACAACAACAGTCCTATATTCAGGACTACGTTCACCCGGACGATCAAACTCAACCTACTTTTGAAATGACTCCTGGGTTCAAACCTTTCACAGTATTATTATTATTATTATTGTTATAAATATGTTTTAGCTAAATTTAAAACAACAGCAACAATTATTGTATTCGGCGTTCTTATGATCTGAAGAATTATGGAGTCGGAGGTAGCCTGCTTAACAGACGCTTGGAAGTAGTGAGCGCAAGAGGGAGACACGCGAGGGGAGAGGGAGCACTCCCTCTCCCCTCGCGTGTGTCTTCTTCTCGCGCGCCCGTTCTTTCGTGCGCCCACTACTTCCAAGCGCCTGCTACGCAGGCTAACTCAGAGGGTGTTATCCGCCGAGGGGGAATGACACCCTTCTTGATCTCCATGAACCTTCAGATCATACTCAGTCTCATCCAATAGTGTTACTAAATAGTTTTTGAGGACTTGTGTTCTTTTAGTACGTAACACTTTTTTTTCTTTTTTTAAAATTTTTTATTAGAAGAGCAAACCAGATCACGATGAATTTTAGAACACTACAAAACCACCTCCCCGCACGCAGCGAGTCTCACTCGGAAGCGTTCAGTGAGGGCCAACATGGATCTTACATTGGCCGAAGGAAAACTATATTGGCCAGCGATTTGCCAACCGAACAATTACATGGAGTGCGGCGTCTAGCGCAGATTATTGCCAAACAGGCTTCAGTCTTACTCTTATTATACGCGCAATACACGGTATTTTGTAGAAAATTTAAATAAATTTTAGCTTCCTTTTTATCTGAGTACGCTTTTTTGAAGTGCAACCTGCAAACGAGTCAGTAAAATCTTTTTCCGCTATTTTGCGGAAAATGTACCCAGGCGTATATACAGAATTAACTCCATTAACCCAGGGTGCACCAATATAGGATTAACTCTATCGACCCAGGGTGCGCCATTATAGAATTAACTCCATTTACTCAGGGTGCGCCATTATCATAGAATTAAGTCTATTTACCCAACGTTTGCCAATATAGAATTAACGCTATTAAATTTAGCCGATCTCATTGTAGTTATATTTTTCACAGCCGCGACTATTAAGTTGCGTGACGTAGTATAGTACAAGTTTGTTTTTTGTATGTTGACGAGTAATTTCTGATCTTTCGCTGAACGGTCCATCGAAAGTGTCGATATCAGTGGGGTGTCCGTATTAACCGAGACACGTTATTTAAGGCGAAAATAGACTTATTGTTGTACAGAATACCAAAGAAATATTAAACACGACTTTCTTGCTCAATCTAAACATCTCTAAGCTTCACAAAATCGTCATTTAGCAGACTATATCCATGCTGGAGTGTAGCGTCCAAATACGCACATACGCCCGTGCGTTCAATTGAAATCTGGAGAAAATATTTTTCATTTCCTAAAAGCATTTTTATCATAAAATAGGGATGGCTGATAACTTTTCCGCATTAGCTGGTGTCTTTTTGTCAGTATTTCATGTATCCTTTTATTAGTAAAATCCAACTAGTGGTCTATTATCAATGCTGCGTTCTCATTGGTTGAGCTACTACTAGGCTATATGTTATAGCCCACTAGTAGCGAAAAGCGCGGGCTTTGAAAACCAAAACAATGGCGACTGAATCGCGTTTTGCTTACTAAAGTTGTTTTGTCTCGATATTTTTTATCAACTGGTTGGATTTTACTAAAACAATTATTCCTCTCGCGCCCTCATGGCCTCCCGGACGGCAAGAAACGTTATAGTGGGGTGAAAAACGAAAAAATAAATTTCCCCTTCTCTGCCCCCTCACAGTGTCACCCTCCCCTCCCCTCCCCTTACCAGTCCGTTTCCTTACACTGTATGCTACCGATAACACTAGTAAAGGGTAAACTAAACAACCACCTACTGAACCTTGAGGTACCTGTGAGTCTACTCGGTACTTAAAAGAACACACTGCCGGAATGAATTATTTACGAAGTACTTTCTTCTATTATCTGCATCGTTTTCCTCTACTAACTGCTATTTCTCCTCTGGGATAATTTTGAAACTCGTTGCTTTTTAGCTTGTTGAGGCTTGTTGTTTGTGTTGTTGTGTTCATTCAGTATTCTTCTGTCACGCATGTATCACGATCAGGACTGCAGCGCTGGGAACATCGACTTGCTGTCAACTAAACTGAGATCAGGCTCAATTTTCGTTGGCTTTGTAAATAGCATTCCGGCAGGGAAGGCGAAACGAAAAGAGTCAGACCCAACTTTTAGCGGTAGCCGTTAGAGAGAATGGATGAGAACCGCTAAAATTGTAGACTGCGAGCAGTCCTTCAGGATGGTCACGCGAGCGAGGAAATCTAGCCTCCCACGCAAACGTTCTTAGGGGTTCGTCACGCGTTCCTACGCGTGACGAACCTCTAAGAACGTCTGCGTGGGAGGCTAGAGGAAATCGAGCCAATTCGCTCTCTCCAGTCCTGCCGAGCTTAGACTCGACTGACTGAAGAGGGACTGCTCACAGTCTACTAAAATTGGGCCTGATCTCAGGTTAGCTGTCAGCTGAATGCTCTTTCTTATCATAGTTAATGGAGTGGAATGGGTTTCCTCGAATAACCATGTTTTTACCTTCCAATTAGGAAAGTTTCATCATAGCACACAGCTGACAATGAAGTGTGCGAATTAGCGATGTTGCCTTTCTATCAGAATTTGTTGATAGGGCAAGAAACAAGTGTCTGTTGTCGCATTAACATTTATCGGTATTAACTGGTATTAAGCGGGTTGAATTTACAGAAAATATGAGGGCTTTCCCCAGGGACTTCTGGGTTTTTGTTTAAGACTTCTTTAAGTGCGACGTGGTATGGAAATCACGGATGATATTTTGAGAGCCTCCTTCTGATTTGGTAGTTATAATAGAACACTGGACGTTGTTGTATGTTCTCTGACTTATTTACTGAAATTGCCATCTAAAGTCTTTTGATAAGAAGCTTGATCAAACGGTTAAAACCACTCCTAAGTCTGCGATTAATTTCGTATGGAATTTTGGCGAAGTTTAAACAATATTGTCCTCGGTACTCGGCCATTGTTTGAAGTATATTGAACACAATTTAGAAGGTACGACGCTTTTGAGCGACGCACGCCAACCAAAGTGAACTTTTTACATTCCTCGGCCATGATTTTGAACAAATTCTTGGACAAATCGTCTCCAAAAGAGTAAAGACACTTAGCAATGCAAATGTGGCAGCCTCAAGGCATATTTAAAGAGCAAAATTCCCACTTCCGGTTGACGAGCGCTGTCGCTCAAAAACTCTGCTTAAATATTTACTCCCTATTAGCATATTAGACAAAAAGATGGCATCGTGTCTGCATTAATCAGTCTTCGCTTACGTTCTGCCGTTAGTTCATGAACCTTTCAAGACAGCATTTATGCTTGCAATCGGATCGGTTGAGACCCCTGTTCTTTTTTTTAAATGCCGTCGTTATCGGTATACGTTTCTCCTATTAGTTTTAACGGTTCTGGTAGGCTTTTACTTAAGAATGAACCTACGAAACTATGGTCTTTACACTGGGAACCACCCTTTCTTTGTCGCTCAGTCTTGCGTGAACATGACAGAGACAGAAAGGGGCCAACTTTTAAACATGGCGTATACTGTTCATGTAATCTTGGACGACCTTTATGTAGAACACTGGTTAATGTACGGCTCTGTGTTTGGTGCTCTTCGCGCGAAAGGGCCTCTACCGTGGGACGACGACGTCGATATTGGAATCAATGGATCAGGAGCTTTTGCTTTGATGTCTTTCGGCGAATTTACCAAACCCTTTGAAGCGAGAGGACTTAAAGTTTGTCACAAACGTTGGATCACAAGTAATGTGGTTAAGGTTTATAGCGACTTGTGGCCTCGACTCAAGATCGATATGACTGCCTTTTATGATTATGATGGACGAATGAAACGCGCTGGACTGGAAACGTGGATTTTGGCCTTGAATTATAACCGTTTTCACACATTTCCTACTCGTTTATTGAAGAAACCTCTGCCGCGAATGCCTTTTGGTAACTATACTTTGCCAGTTCCACGAGAGGGTATTGAAATTCAAAAGTATCTCTACCCTGATGACTGGTGGATCGAGGTAAAACCTGTCACTTGTCTCACGAAAAAGCCGGTCACTTGAATTAAGGGGCTGTGTCACGGCTCAGTTATGTAATTCATTTTGTCTCTTTCGCCCACCACTTCTAAGCGCCTGCTACCCAGGCTAATAAACTTGGTGATACAGCTTCTTTAACTAGCTAACACATTTTTGTTGGCTCGCAAACATAATTTTAGACTACATGACTACATGTAGTGAGTTTATGTTAATATCTTCCTCAACTGCAAAGGACAAACCTTTGACATTGAATTTTTTACGATTTTTAGGTCCCTGTGGGGTACTCCAGGGAATTCTTGGTGAGGGTGTGCCGCCCGGTTTTCCAAATGCTGACCCTATTTCAGACCAAAAAATGTCATTTTTCACACCCGTTTTTAGACCTGGCCTCTACGAAATTATGCCATTATTACTGAGATTAAAACAGTAACGAAAAAGATTTCTTAAAATCCAATTCGAATTCGCAAATTTCTCTATTTTTCTTACGCATTTGGAATTGAAACGATAAATACGTTCATACAAACCCGCCATTCCCTCGAAAACCATACCCAATTCCAGACTAAAAAGGCAAAGTCTAAACCCGAAAACGGCACTAAAACCCTTCCCTTTGGGGTGTGGCACATACCTATATGGCTCATATAAGGGAGTACTCCTCCCCCCCCCCCCCCCCCCCCCCCCCCGGGGGAGAGGAGGCCCCACACCAACACCCACCAACAAAAAAAAAAAAATTCCTTTCCCCAAAAAAAAAACAAACAAAAAATATTTTCTCTTTTTTTTTTTTTTTTTTTTGTTATTTTTAAAAAAATTTTTTTTTTTTTTTAAAAATTATCAAAAACATCTTTTCACCCACCCTCT